CAGCCAGCTGGCTGAGGAACTCTGGGAGTTGAAGTCCACAAGTCTTAAAGTTGCCAAGGTTGGAGACCCCTGCTGTAGAAGACGAGTTCGCATAGAAACAATGGAAAAAGTAGCATTTCAGCAGATGTCTCTAGAAAGCGGCCTACCGCACCCCCTGGAAGAAAGAGACAGAGATGTATACTTTGGAACAGTATCTTAGCTGGCTAGAGAATTCTGGGAGTTGAAGTTCACCCGTCTTAAAGTTGCCAAATTTGAGAAAATTTGCTGCTTTATAGAAGGCATTGGCAAATCCTCCCTAGTATAGGTAGTCCTCAACTTACAACCACAATTGAGCCCAGAATTTCTGTTGCCAAGTGACACAGTTAGGTGAATTTTGCCCCATTTTACAACCTTTCTTGCCACTGTTGTTCAATGAATCACAGCAATTGTTAAGTTAGTAACACAGTTGTTAAGTGAATCTGGCTTCTCCATTGACATTGCTTGCCAGGTTGCAAAAGATGGTCACATGACCTCAAGACACTGCAACTGTCATAAATGAGTCAGTTGCCAAGTGGCTGAATTTTGGTCACATCACTATAGAGATGCTGTAACGATCATAAGTGTGAAAAATGGTCATAAGTCATTTTCTTCAATGCCATTGTAACTTTGAATGGTCACTAAATGAACTGATGTAAATTGAGGACTACCTGTTTACGTATCATGATTCTTCAAGGTGATCTTTTATGATAACCAATCCCTTTGCTTGAAAAACCTGCATATGTATTATTAACTAGTGCCTCATGCTTTGATTTGAGAATTTTCCATTTCCTATGGGAAGTCTCTGTTTCAAGTTACTGTTAATGGAAAACAGGCTAATGATCGAATAAATGCATTTTGTCAATAGACAAAACAAGTTTCTCTGTGCTCTTTGCCAGTTAATGGAAAGCATTGAGCGTTGCAGTTTCTAATCAAATTCAAAGTTTGAGCCTAAGTTCAAGAATCTTGGCCCTTCCTCCCTCCCTCTTCCCCCCCTTCCCTACAGCAGCCCAGGACAAAATGTTTCCCATTTCTGCTAATTTTTCCCCATCATTCTCTCCCACTAATAGCGAAGAGGTTCTTGGTGATGCCAGCCTTGACATACTCCTTCCTGCAGGTGGAAACCACTATTTTCATTATGTGCCATCAAGTCAGTGTCAACACCTAGTAATCATATAGAGAGATGTCCCCAGTCTGGCCCTTCAGGTCTTGCAATGGTGGCATTCATTGTCACTGTAATCAAATTTGTCAACCTTGCTGGACATTCTCTTTCTTAATTTTTGTTTGAAAAAAGAATTCTGGATTGATTTGTCTAATGATCCTTTCCCCCCCCCCTTGGCTGTCCCTGGTATTCTCAGGATTCTTCTCTATCCGCAAAATTCACTCTGAGGGAGTTGCTGATTCATGGACTAATTAGATTTCAGAAATAATTGAATTACCTGTTAGAAATAGCCAAAACTATTGTGTTATAATTATGTTATTTAATTATGTGTTTTTAATCTGAAGGTATTTTTGTATTCAATGCAGTTTATATTTTGAGCAGAGTTGGGATTGCGTTCCAAGATGTACAGTATATAAGTATTTGAAATAAATACTTATAATTCTTTTATTTGTAAATATATTCTCCAATAAAAGTTCTTTGGCCTCTATTAATTTGAAAATGCCTTGTTACAATTAAGACACAATTTTCTTGTACTGTATGTATACATAACTTCTATTTTATCTACTTGGGGGAAAAAGACAGAAAGAGGGGGAGGGAAGGGAGGAATAGAGGCAGGAATGGAGAGGAGGGTAACTACCTGTAATTACAGCATAGTAAAACCCATTATCCATTACCACCTCATTTTCATACAATCTTTCACTAGCCCATTAAACACAGGAACTGATACGTGTGTTATTCAATTACATAGATTTAGTATTTTTAATATTTATTTGATTTGTCAATCACTTACAAGATACAGGTATAAGAATAAACATAGTTTTGAATACATGAGATAGATACTTATAAGAAAAATAAAAAGAAAATAGGACAGGGATGGTAGGCATGTTGGTGCCCTTATGCACACCCCCTACAGGCCTCTTAGGAAGGGGGTGAGGTCAATAGTATACATTCTAAGGTTAAAGTTTTTGGGGTTTGGGGAAGAAACCACAGAGTCGAGTAGAGTATTCCAAACATTGACCACTCTGTTGCTGAAGTCGTATTCTCTGCAGTCAAGTTTGGTGCGGTTAACCTTGAGTTTGTATCTATTGTGTGCTCTTGTATTGTTATGATTGAAGCTGAAGTATTCATTGACAGGTAGGACATTGCAATGTATGATTTTATATACTATATTTAGATCGGACTGGAGGTGGCATAGTTCTAGGTTTTCTAGGTCTAGAGTTTCAAGTCTGGTGGCATAAGGTATTCTGCAATGAGTAGAGGAGCAGAGAACTCTTCTTGTGAAATATTTCTGGACTTTTTCAATTGTGTTAATATCAGATACATGATATGGGTTCCAGACTGATGAGCTGTATTCAAGCATAGGTCTAGCAAATGTTTTGTATGCTCTAGTTAGTAGTGTGATATTACCAGAGAAGAAGCTACATAGGATTGGGTCAACAACTCTTAACCCTTTTTGGCTATGTAGTTACAGTGGGCTCTAGCACTTAGATCATTAGAGATGAGTACTCCAAGGTCCTTGACAAAGTTTGGATCCTCAACAAGGTCTTGATTATGTTGAAAGGCTGGAAAATGCCTTTCTTCTGAGGGTTCAGTTTTCCTGCTGGGAGAACTCCAGTGCAAGGACACAGGCAACTGCTTGGAAGCTGTTTCTTTTTATTTTTCAGGAAGGCGAGAGACAGCAAGAAGTCTGCGTTCCTGGGGCTAGCTCGCTTTGTATAATAAACACCTGATTTTTATACTTTTTTTCTCCTTTTGTGTGTGAGTGCTTGTGTTTGTATTTCTTAATGTTTTAAATCCTGTCAGGGGTTGTCTTCATTTCCGCTGGAGGGTAAACTCCGCGGGGTGGTTTGATTGGATTATCAGTTTCGTCCTAATGTTTTCTTATATTTGTTTTGTGGCAATCTCCTGTCTGCTATGGAATTTATTTCATGTCTTTTGTCTATTTGTTTTGCTGATTTGGCATGACCTGTTGTTTGTAAGGGATTTCTTTTTCTTGTTTCCCTAGCTTTCTTAATTACTTGGCTTTTGTCTAGGGGGCTTCTTTCAATACCTTTTATTAAATCTCTTTTCCTATGCAAGTTTGTTTTATGCCTGGCCTGATGTTCCCTTTGGGCTTTTCCTGCTTGGGTGTCACCACTGTCCTCATGAAGTTCCCTTTCCACAATTATTTAGCTTGTATTTTATGATATTAGACAGGATGGATTAAATAAGCATGCTGCTGGGCTATTTCTGTGTCAGTTCTTATATAAAATATATACAGTATTTAGTTGCACAACCCAAGCTATTTTAAGTGCATGCTAAAAGATACAAGTGTGCAGTATTAAGGGTCTGTAATACATCATGGAACATTTCATCATTCACAAGTTATTTAAAATAAACCCATTTTGGGGTTTGGCAAATCACTTCCAGATGAAGACGATTTAAATCCTTTGACCACTCGAGATTTTTCGCGTGAGGGGCTCAGATATCAGATGGAACATACCACAACCGACTGTAGGTAGAGGTTTTATTTTTCACTGCTTTCCCGCTGAAAAGCCCCATATCGCTAAAGATAATCTTTTTAAATTAAAATTGCAGCAAAACAGAACGACAACTCTTTTGCTTATATTTCCGAATTCCAAGACATGTATTTAAAGTCTTTGCATCCTGAAATGGTCCAGCCCAGAAAAAAGCCAAATCCTTCCTCGCAAGTCGTCCTGAAAAGAAAGACGGCGCCGAAGATCTCCTCCTCCTCTTGCATCTACACGATGCGCAACTCCATACTGCATTGCAGCTTCTCGGTGTTGCAGGTTTCTGCGCGATATCCCCATTTGATCTTCCATCGAACGCTTTTGGGCCGAGCCGGGCTCATTCCTGCCACCCAGATTCGTTTGCGCCCGGGATGCTGTCAGGAACCTCTTAGTGCTGTGCTTGGATGGAGCGCCGAGATTCAAGTGATCCCGAGCGAGGGCGCGGTTCCCAAAAGTTGCTCGGCCGGCATCTTTAACGGCGAGGGAGAAACAATGGGAAATGACGCCTCACTCTCGAAGCGCTTGAGAGATGCAAAGGCCCAGGGAAGGCTCCCCGCTGGTCTCTGAGGTTCGATAAATTAGTTTGATCTGAAAAAAGGGCTTTTTCCTCTCGGGCCGCTGCAGCTTCGGAAAGGGCTGCCAGACTCCATTATTGCAGCTTTTAAGGAAGCCCTTTCTATCTCTTCCTCTCAAGTCTTTCATTGCTATTTCCTGTTCCTGGCAGAAACTTTCCATCTGTGGAAATTGCAGGTTTTATTTATGTTTGTATGCCTATGATTTTATCTGTCAAAATTGCCTTGAACAAGGTTCTGCCTACCAATATTTTAAACTCGAGTGAAAGGGCATCCTGGTTGGGGATTATGGGAGTTCATATGCAATACCTCTGAAAGCCTTGACCCGCTTCTGAGTTAAATATAACTTTTTTGCAGTTGTGGTCTCCCTTGACAAATTCGTGGAATGTGGACAATTTTCAGGATATGAAAATAGGTTGATACCTATTGCAACAATGACAGCTACTTAATAATTGTTGCATCCAGGGCCAATGTTAAGAAGCTGTTTTTCTATCCCATTGCTTTTTTAGTTTTAAACAGAAGAGAACTAATATGAATTCATTTTCTGTTGGGCAAGACAATCTGACCTGGGTCATGGAATTACTGAACAGTATCAATATGTCTCCACATAATATCATAAACGGTTTCACGGATTACTCAGCATACTTTTTCTGGGTGTCAGTACTGTTCCTACTTCTCTTTTCTCCTGTTTTAATAATTCTTGGTTTTATTTATTTTTCTAATTTTCTCTTGCATATTTACAAGAGAAAAGTTAACTTAAAGGAACATTATCTCAGTCAATCATGGGACAATGGACGGAGGGCTGTGGCTCACCTTTGGGACATGTATGGTACAGTGTGGCATGGTAAGTTTAATCTGCTTGATCTACACGTTGATATGGCTTTGTTGACAATACCACAGTGGTTTATAATAACTTTAAATGGCACAGGAGAACATGCAGCAATCATGTGATCTTCAGAACCCTCCATAAATGTCATGCATTGTTTAATTATGTGTGGGGAATAATCATATCACTGCACTTAATGTGAAATATTTAGATAATGTAAGTGCATTTACAACATACCATACCAACCAAGTATTGTTATTTTGCAAAGCACAGAAAAGTAATAAGAAATAATAAAAACTTCACTGCATGTGACTTATTGGAGGAATGCAGGTAACAAGATGTTGGCTTGCAAAAAAAAAAAAGACCAGAAACCCTATCTTGTTAGAAAAGCATGAACATGCTTGTGGTAAAATTGTTTTGGTTGACTCATACCAGAGGTGGTATTCAACAGGTTCTGACCAGTTCTGGAGAACCGGTAGCAGAAATTTTGTGTAGTTCAGAGAACCAGCAAATACCACCTCTGACTGGAGATTTTACAGTATCCTTCCCCTGCCACGCCCACCAAGCCATGCCCACAGAACTGGTAGTAAAAAACTGGAATCCCACCACTGACTGATACCACCATATGCTAAAACTGATCAGTACTTTTCTTATTCTTAGCGGAGAGTGCTGCAGAAAAACAACTGAAACTGCTTTTTTATCTTGCTAAAATGTGTAGATAATATCAAATTTAGGTTTTGCTCTGGATAACTCCCTTTCAATGTCCAAATCCACTTACTTTTTGGCATATGTTTTAAAGTCCAATGCTACCTTTGGCCTGAAAAAAAAAGTGAAGAGAAATAATGATTTATTGAAGGCTCCTTGGTTACAAACTAGTGTATATTTCTAACAGATTTCAAGGGACTGCATTGCTTCATATCTGAAACCAGAAGTTTTGGAATAGGCATGTGTGTATATGCATAACTGTTGGAGTTTAAGAAGGTGCATTTTTTCCTGGGCTCATAGATAATTGTGCAGGGCCAGGAAACAATGCATTTGACTTAAGGAGACACTAGTAAGTAATAACGAAGTGCTTTGTGGGATTGGCACCAACTTAATTCAAAGTCATATTTTCCTTTCATGTGTTACTATTACTGCTACTATTTCCTGAATATGGGAATATTTGCTTATGGGGTTCCCATAGACATAGATACTTTTGAAATGAGCATTTGGCGCATAACCCAATGATCATGGGGTAGCTGTTGTATGTTATGTTTTATTTTAATTTTGGGTTGATTTCCATAGGAACTTTAAATGTATTATTTAATTATTTATTAACAATAATTATAGAAACACAAATCTGCATGAATCTGTGTGATGGATTAATATTCAAAAATATATACTTCCCAGAATAATCTGAATAGCTAGAATAGAAATTTACAAAAAAATAAAAAATAGGGCTGACTAATGCTTATTATATTTCTGAATGTTATGAAATGCCACTGTAGTGCCTTCTTCAATAATGTTTACTGATTGAAGACTTCCGGTTGCAAGGCTTCGGCGGCGGCAGGAATCCGCTTCTCTGCGGGTCCCTGCTGCACTCGCCGCTGAGGTACCCCCGATCCAACTGGATTTGGGGGTTGTCGCTACCCCGAAGGGGCAGCGGAAGACAGAGGAGATCCGGGCAGGAGTCTGGGAATATCGCACCCCCTTTCCCCAGCCGGCTAGACTCCTTTTTCCTGAGGCGGTGGAGCGGCTGTCAGAAATGGCAGCCACAAAGGAATCTTCAACTGGATAAGACTGTGCAGGAGGAAGAACCAGAAGGAGAAGTTTTCTTGGCTGAACCGGGACATTAAGTTACTTTTAAAACACCCTGGAAACCTGACTTTTGGATTGATACATTTGTTTCCAAAAGAAGTTGTTACAGCTGCGAAAGTGCTGAAAGGAAAGTTCACTCCCCTTCCTTACGGAGAAAGCAAATGAGCACAGAAAAACCTCCTTCTTTAAGGTAAAAATAAGCTAAAAAAAATCTTTAAAAATTTGTTCGAGGAGACGCCTTGAAGATTATAAGATCAGCAACCAACTGTAATACGGCTTTAAAATATATTTGGGATTTTGCCCCAGGAGGAAAAATTGCAAAGAGAAGAAGAGGAAATAATTTCTGTCTGTTTGGATTGTTTGATAACTTTGACATTTGGAAATCACTTTAAGATTAAAAACATCTGGGTTGTTCTTAAAAATTGACAATGGCACTATCTGTGAATGAATTAAAAATGGAATATGAAAAATTAAAAGAAAAAACAAAAAGGCAAGGATTCTTTGGGAGCTGTCTTCCACTTTTTAGAAATGGCGGTTTCTACATACCAGCAAATACTCGAGGAAGAAGGAGAAGGAGAAGAAGAAGAAGAAAAGGAAGAAGCCATTTTTAATGGACAAAAAAGTTCAATTAAGAAAGAAAATAGGAAGAGAGGAAGGAAAAATGAGAATTTAAGATTCAATAAAGCAACCAAGAAAAAGAAAAATAAGGTGAAAAAAAGGTACAATGTTAGAAAGCAATTGAAAAGAGAAATACAACAGAGAGGGGAAGTTAAAAAGGTGGAGGTTAGGAGGGGTGGGGGCAAAAAGACCAGACTGGAGAAGAAAGGGAGGGAAAAAGGGGGAAAAAGCCACGGTCTGAAACAAGATGCCAAAAAGCAGATTTTTTTTTAGAGATAAAGGATAAAGGATAGTGTATAATTAAAGAAAGATTCTGCAAGAGTACATAAGATAGTATTGTAGTATTTTCATTTGAAATAGTTTACTGGAATATTATAAGATTTAACAAAATATTAAAATATTAAAATGTTTAATAATGATAGATCTCAATATTTAATAAAATATTAAATAGAATGTGTAAAATGATTAATGTTTAGTTATAGTTTAATTCGTTATTGTCTTAATGTTATTATAAACTTTCTATTTCATTTTCTTATTTTAAAATAATGTATGAATTAGAATTAGACTAGAATGGAAATTATATACTTAACTATATTATAAATTTATTATTCTTTTATTTTAAAATGCAACATGTAGAATGTACTAAGCAGAATCAGGACAGAAATTATGTATTATTTTAAGTGTTACTTTAGGGGAAAGATAGAAAGGCGTCACACTTTAAAAGTGATTACAGGGGAACTTTTTTGTTAAAGAGAAGAGATAAATAGACAATTGGAAAAGAACGGACAAAGGATACAAGCATAATGATTTTAAAATAAGATGAAATAAACAAAATATAATTAAGAGAGTAAAAAGAAGGGAGAAGTTATATAGAAAATATAGAATGGTTAATAAGATATGAATGGTATATAAGGTGAGCATGAATTTGATTTAGGTCTGTAAAAAAAGATGTAACCCGGGGCTAAGCCACTTTTCAAAAGAAGTTTTATGTTTTATGTTTTGTGTTTTGGTTAGCTATGTTTGATTGAGAATTAATAAAACCTTGGAGGAATAAAACTAAAGGGAGAGAAAAGACATGTACAAATGATAACTAAGGAGGTTTTATCTTTTTATGTCTTGTTTTATGTTTTGTATTTTGTGTGTTTATGTTTGATTGAGAATTAATAAAACCTTGATAGAAAGAAATATAATTGAATAAAAGTGAAGGGAGAAATAATGAGAAATTTGGAAAAAATATATAGGTGTTTAAATGGAAATGTGATAATTTGGAACTATGTTGTATAAATGTTTATATTTGATTGAGAATTAATAAAACTTTGATAGAAAGAAATATAATTGAATAAAAGTGAAGGGAGAAATAATGAGAAATTTGGAAAAGATATATATGTGCTTAAATGGAAATGTGATAATGTGGAACCATGCCTTAAAAAATAATGTTTTATTTGCCTTGTTAAAACTTATAAGTAATTTTTAGAAAGGAGGTTTTATGCTTTTATGTCCTATGTTTTGTTTGTCTTCAAAAAATCAATAAAGTTTGTTTTAAAAAAAAAATGTTTACTGATTGTTGTATAAATACAGAACACAGATTTCTGTGGTAGCATGATTCATTTATGAATATTCTGATATCCATTAAAGTAAAAGGCTGGTTAGCCAGTTATGTGATTATTACTATATGTGAGAGACCACTAGGAAATTCCAGGGCTATAGGCTGGATAAGTTCTTAAAAGTCCAAAAAAAATGCAATGGCAAACTTCTGCAAAAACTGATATGTAGTATAAGTATGTGCACTCACCAGAAGTTGAGTTAAATTTGACAGGGACTTATTTTATTACATTATTACTAAGTCCTTCCTTATGTGATAAATTAACTGTCTAGTCTAGTCTATGCTCCAGTCTAATGTATTGCTGTCAGCTGAAGTAGAGAATGCTTGTTATCATAGCAGAATTAACATTTATCTAATAATCTGTCATTTGGTATATATAAACCGAGGAAGACTGTCAATTTTACCTTTAGCAACAAATTGATCTCAACTGGCAAAAATCGATATATAAAGCTCATGTAACTAATGACTATAAAATAGAATAAAAAATGGTTTTGAATGATGTAGTGCTATAATAGAGAAGATACATAGCTCAAGGTTGAATTGTTGGGTTCTGAGCTTCTATTCTACACAAGCTTCATTACCAGGCTAGCTAATATCAACAATGCAGGGGAGTAAAGTTTGCTGGGTATTTATATATGGTAGCTTTGTTACCAGTGTTGATTGCCCTTGGGGTGAATATTGTTTCATCTTTGATCTTGTTTCTCTGCTATTGATTTCTTCTTATTTGGGTGTTGATTAACATGTTTGAGGTGAGGAAAGATATGTTACAGCTCTTTGTGTTTCCTTCGGCCTATACAGGGAATATTTGACCTATGACCATTTGTCCCATGAATTAGGATGGCACTGAATGAATGGTGGGTTACAACCAATCCTTGGAGTTCTGGCTATCCCAACACTACTGCAGTCATCTGAATGTCCTGCAATCATAACATCACCATTTGCAATCTTCCCTGCCAATTGCTCAAGAAAGTCAGTGGGACAGCTGTAGGACAAGGAAGATTGCAAGTTGCTGTGGTAAATCTTCCCCACTTGCCTCTCTGTCTCATGTACCCTCCCCAAATCCTTTGTACTCATGCTATGCTGGCCACTCATGCACCCCCATGAATTCTCCCAGACCCGCATTTCCCTTTCATCTCCTCAGACCCTCACTCACCCACCCTGACCCATGCTTCTCATGCATTCCTTGCAGCCTGCACAACTTCCCCAACCCATGTCTATAATGCACACTCTCTAGCATACCCCCTTACAGCCCTGTGTCCCCTTCCCAACCTGCATCAAGCCTCTCACACAGCCTCCCCAACCCACACATCTCATGCACCCTAGCACACTCTTCCCAACCTACACTGCATCTCTCATGGACCCTACTGCATTGCTCCCTGAAGTGTGATGTGCTTGTCCACATTTGCACATCCTCTCTAATGCTCTGTTGCACCCACCCCTGCACAAGTCTTGCTCCCTTGCCTATTTGACAGCACCTTCTATTCTACCTCCCAGCCTGGGGCTTTCTGCAAGCTTTCCCACTGACATTGCTTGTAAAAAGCCATCAGGAAATTGCCTCACCTTATGATTGTGGGATTCATTTAATGGGATTGTAAGGATTGCCATTGCTAAATGCTTTATGATCGCATCACTTAGTGACCAAAATTCCAGTCCCATTGTAAGTTGAGGACAACCTGTAGCTGCTTCCTTTCTTGAATATTTTGTAGATGGAACTTATCTCAGTGAATCTTCTCACAATTTTCTGCCTATTTGCCTAACCTAGGGATTTTCCGAGATCTTGCATCTGATATTGCATAGTTGTCTGTTTTATCCTCTTAGCTGTGTGCACATTGTTTTATGATGCTACCTAGTAACCGTGTTTCTCATATAATAAGGCTGGGTCTTTTTTTTTTTTTTGAGCCCTGAAAAAATGGCTAGGCCGTCTTTTCGGGGGTGACTTAATTCCCCCCCTTGCATCTTTGGGTGGGTGGGTGGCGACGGCTTGGATGTTGACCTCGGCGTTGGTGGTGCACTTCGTATCGGGGTCAACACAGGCAGCACCATATCCGGGTGTGCAACAAAAGTACTTCCTAATGGCAAGCCCCCCCACCATTCCCCCCCCATTTCGCATGTTTTAATATAGGCCTTAATTTGGGGGGAGGGGCTTAATTTCATTTCATGCCTATAAAACCTGCTGGGACTTCCTATTGGGGGAGGCCGTATTGTTGGAGAAACAGGGTATATAAATTGTTGTTATTTTCTATTATGATGACTGTGTCCAAGAAAATCACTTTGCTGCTGTAACTATTTTCTTCTCTTGTAAATCTGATTCCATGAAAGCTGTTCATTTATCACCCACGTAAGAGATCCATATTTTGGACTATATCTCTGAGAGGACTATTGCTTCTGGAGGTTGCACTACTTTCTGTACTGTGAATCCTGAGATGGGCTTGAAAAGCTTAATCCTCTAATCTGTTTCTATATTTGTTCACCAAATTGGAAGTAGGTGATGAGGCTGAGATCTATCAGTCCCACAACTTTTGATATTTTGACAGTATAAATGCTGAAGAGGATTATAGGAAAGAGTTTAGCCTTGAATCAGTTTTTTTACCTCAACAACTATGCTTATATTGACTGCACTTTCTTCTAGGAGCCACTCTAATTTTCATCTTCATTGTATTAAAGCAATACTGAAATTCTTATATTTTATCCTTTAAACAGGTTATGAGATACATGGAATGGATAAAATACCAGAAGGACCAGGGCTTATCGTATTTTACCATGGAGCCTTTCCTCTAGACTATTACTACTTTGTATCTAGATTATATTTAAGAACAGGCAGATTTTGCTGCACAGTGGTTGATTACCATTTTTCCAAAATACCAGGTAAAATATATTGTCCATGCACAAACACTGTATTGCAAACCTTTAAAACAGACATAATTACAATTTATTTAAAAAAATTGCATAGGTCTTCTAAAATGCAGACTTATCTAGCTTCTTGAATTATCAATCAAATCTTGTAGCCTTTGACATTTTGATTGTCACTGAGTGTCACCATTTTTGTAGCCTGAGCCAGAAAAGCTTAGGTCTGTTACAATATTATTATCATCTTATTTTTTACACGCAACTTAGATAAAATATTTTTTTGGTTGGTTGAGAATGAAAAATGTTCAAGCAAACTATTGAACATTTTATGTTTCTCTTTGCTATATAATCAGAAAAAAATTCTTTATTTTAAATGATCTTCAAAACATACAATTTTCTATTTATACTGTTCCGCTCATTCAAATATCGTCTAACAAAATGCTTCCTAAAAATAAAAAGGTTTTCTCCTGTTGGTTTTGTCCAGATTTTTTAATTCCTCATCTATTGGGGAAATATCTTTTACAAATTTGTCTGCTTTTTGTACACTTTGTATCAATGCTTTGACTGAAAAACTAGTCTACTAGAAATGAACATCCTGCTCTGTCACAAAAATTTTACTGACAGTTATTTTAACCTTCTGTTAGTTATTATCTAAAGTCTCCATTCAGTAAGGCAGGCTGAATGTTGTATGGCAATAATGGGGAAATTTATTTATGTATTTATTTGTATCCCAATACAAATAATATACAAATAATTCAAGGCAGTGAACATATCCAACACATCTTCCTCCTATTTCCCCCATAACAAGCCTGTGAGATGCTCTGGGCTGAGAGAGAGTGACTGGCCCAAAGTCACCCAGCTGGTTTTCATGACTAAGAACCTAAGGTCTCTTGGTTTCTAGCCTGGTGCTTTAACCTCTAGATCAGGGATGTCAAACTCGATTTCATTGAGGGCTGCATTAGGGTTGTGTTTGACTTCAGAGGGCCGGAGGGGAATGGTAATGATGGGCGTGGCCAGCTCTACATTACTCATGTTGGGGGCACCTGTGGTGGCCAAGTGCTAAGGCAGGGCATTCCTGAGACCTTTCCTCACTCATTACAATCTTCCTTCCTTCCTTCCTTCCTCCCTCCCTCCCTCCCCTCCTTCCCTTCTTTTTCCTTCCCCTGATTCCTTCTTTTTCCTTCCTTGCTCTCTACCAATCTTTCCTTCTTTTTCTTTGTCTTCCTCTTTCCCTTTCTCCTTTCCAGTCCCTTTGTGCATGCTCAAATGTAAAAGGGGAAACATTCTGACACCCTATTTTCAGCTGAAAATGGGATGAAGGGTGTGTGTGTGCATGCTGCCCCTCTGAGCTTCATCTTTACTGACAAAGTCACCGTGAACTTTTGCTGTTTCTAGGCTGGCCCCACTGGCCAGATCTAAGCAACCTATGGGCTGGATTCGACTTGCGGGCCTTGAGTTTGACATCCCTGCTCTAGATCAAACTGGCTCTCTCCGTGCTATTCATAACAAAAGTGTAATGAATGATGTTAGTGCAGCAGGACATTATCTGTATCTGAATATGTGTAACTAATTACAGATATATTAGATAAGGTGCAGCTTTCTACTATTCCAGTTTTATATATTTTTACAGTCAGCAGGGTAATATAAGTCCTGCCAAACTTGTTTAATATGTATACTCTTTCTGACTATAAACGAGATGATGTTCTATTAAACATGTTGCTGAATATGCATGCAGAATTTTAGGTCCTATCATTTTAATCGAAATTTATTTGTAAATTATGTTTGGATCTGTCAGCCTTATGCAATGGACCAAACCAGGAAACCAATCCCACGGAGAGACTAGAACTTTTTAACTGCATTAAGATAGGCTATAGTAACAGAATCTTTCCAACCTGTCTAGAGGGGCAAGCCAGAACCTTGTAATACCACTTCCTTTTCCAGGATTTCGGGAATATGTGTGCCCTTGTTTCTGTATTGGTTTATGAATATTTCTTTCAAGGCCATCTCCATGGCTCCATACAGCATCCAAAGAATACATTGAAGTTTGGCTCTTTGGTAGAAAGCTATATTTAATAAGTAGCATTTCAGACAAAAATAAAATTATATACATATTGTAGGAAGCATTGCATGATCATTCAGAAGCACAGCAAGGCAGCTACATTCTTTAATAATTATGTTAAAAACAGTTATCAATATGTGTATATAATATTTGTTTCTTTATGTGCTCTCTTGACCATTGGTTCACAAGGATTTAATTTTATATATGATTTACAAAAGAGAACTCAAGAGAGGAATACCTTTATTTGTGTGTGTAAAGGATTTTTAGGTATAATACTGTATATATTCTAAAGATGCTTTTGTTGGTATCTTGTACAGGTATAAAACTGTTTTATAACGTGGAAGGCCTTACACATAATGGAAGGAGAGAATGTGCTGACATTCTGAAAAGGGGATACTTATTGGGAGTTTTACCAGGTGGAACCCGAGAAGCACTGTTTAGCGATGAGAACTATGACTTTTTATGGGGTAGCCGGACAGGCTTTGCTCATGTGGCTAGAGATGCAAAAGTGGTGAGTAGCTTTCTGCTATGCATCTAAAACATAATGACGGTTGCAATGGACACTGGATTAAATAGAAATCTATTTCAGCAGTCATTATTTCATGATTTCATATCATTTACATAATTCCAGCCATTGATCTAAGTTTTCTGCAAAACCACCTCCCCAAACAAAACAAAACCTGTGGATAACTTGGATGAATTGTGGAGTAAAAATTTTTGCCTTCTGGATAGTTGTGATTCTGGGCAACTTATACTTTAAAACAAACATAAAAATGGACAAACATATAGATCTCCAAAAGAGAATAGTAACTAAATGAAACAACAAAAACAACTTATAGGGGGTCAGCAGGCATACTATTCCAAGGAAAACAGTCAAGTTTTTGGAGTTGTATGAAACATCATTATGGTTGGGAGCCATATAGATCTCTTTAGAGGGTGTCTTCCAGAAGGCAAATGCCACAACAGAGAAGGCATGATATCTAGGTCCTGAGAAATAACATTGTTTAATTGAAGGAACCTGGAGGATGCCCAGGTACTCTGCTGATCTTACTAGATGGGCAGAAATGATGGAAGATAGTTCTGATAGTATGCCAGGAGGGCTTTAAACAAGCACCTTGAATTGCACCCCAAAGCCCACCCATCAGCAACCATTGAAGTTTGTGGGTAGCCCATTGGAATGCATTCCAGTAATAGCTTCTGAGTGGTCTTCAAAGGTACTTCATAATCAAAGGTGATGAGAACAAAAATGACCAACTAAAGAGTGATCTATGAGTAGGATGGTAATCTAATCACCAGGGCAGATCTATTAAATGTCTTTGCTTTCAAGAGAAAGTTTTTCTCAGACTCAAACCTAGGCTTCAGTTGGCAGGTTTTCAAAGCCCGGCCTAGGCTGTCAGCTGCTGCTGGTGGATGCTAAATTAGTCTGTAACAATGCTATCTTGATTTATGACTTAATTGTTGAAGAAAAGGCTGATTTGGCATGCATCATTGAAACTTGGCTGGGGGAAGAGGGTTCGGTTCCTCTCTCTGACATCTGCCTGGCTGGTTTCCACATTTGGCCAAAATCCCAAGGATTTTGAGGTAGAATGGCAGGATTGTCTGGGATCCTTGGCAAGCATTCAGGGTCTTGTTCCACAAATTGTTGGATGCGGGATGCTATTTCTTAAGTTGGGCACCAGGACAGGTCTATTAGCCTGTTGATGTTGTTTCACGCTCTTTCCTATGTAGCAGCGTCCCTATCTGACTTTCATGGCTGGGCTGGCAGTGGAATTTCCTAGATTTATGGTGCTGGGAGATTTCCATCCACCATCCCTAGGTGCAGGTCAGAGGTATTGGGAATTTATGGCCGTCATGGAGTTATGGACCTGACACAAGTCATCCAGGGCTCAATTCATAGTATTAGTAATTGGGGGAAGTTTTGATTTCTCCCTGCCATAAACAGACCATTCACTGGTGATCTTCAATTTTTCAGATGCTACCTCCCTCCGCAGGGAGACTAAGCTTATTGGATCAACCCACACCAGGAGAGTAAGGAAACTAATTCGGTTCCAGAGGGAACTTGGGGTTATTCCAGAAACACTAATGTTCAGTCCAATTAAAACCTTGGTGGCTGCTTTGAATAACAAAGTGGCAGCGCCCTTAAATCAGATTGTGCCTGAGCAGTTTCTTTGCACCCAGAGTTCCTGAAATTTCCCATGGTACATGATGGAATAAAAAAAACATAAGTGGACTAAGAGATACCTAGAATGTCACTGGTGATGATAGTCAAACACAAGCTAGAGCCACTATTAAGGACTACCTCATGGCAATAAGGGTGGGGAAACGTAAGTACTTCTCTGCCATTATTGTGTCTGCTCATGGATGCTAAAGGCTCTGTTCTCGGTGACTTGGTCCCTCCTTGGAGAGAAAAATGCCAAAGTCTACCTAAAGGGTTACTATGAAGAATATACTACACATGCAGTGCAAATCAGCTGCATTCACTCTACGCTGGACTCCAACTTGAGAGCAAAGTCTATGGAGGCGATGGTGACCACATCTTGCAAAGTAATCTGTGAAGAGTTTGAGCCTGTTGAACCTGAAGAGGTGGGCAGGGCTCTCAGGTACTAATTTGATCACTTGTATGTTAGATCCATGTCCCTTCTGACTAAAGCCTTGCAGTGTTGAGTGGGTTTGGGTTAACTTTTCCTTGAGAGAGGAAGGGTGTTGCCAGCTTTTAAAGAGGTAGTGGTGCACCCCTTCCTCAAAGGACCACTACCTGACCAAGTAGCCTGGATAGTTTCTATACAGTCTCCAGAGTGATTGCATGGCAACTTCAGAGAACTCTGGAAGAAGCAAATTACTAGACCACTTTCAGTAGGGATTCAGTCCAGGAATTTGGACCTGAGATGGCATTGATTATGTTCATAGATGACCACTTGTGGGAGCGGATGGAGGTAATGCATCCATCCTGGCTTTTCTTGACTTCAGTGGCACTTGATACCATCAATCATGGTATAATTGCGTGCTGGCTTCAGGAATTGGTGGTAGGTGGCACTGTATTGTACTGGTTCTCCTTCCAAGGCCAGTTGATAGAAGGAGAAAAATCTAGACCATATGTCAGGGTTTAATCTCTCTTTCTATTCAATATTTTCATGAGGCCACTGGGTGAGGTGATCCATTGGTTTGTGGTGAGATATCATCAGTATACACATGACACCCAGCTTTATATCTCTGCCCAGGCCTGTTGAGTGATGCTCTGGACACCCTATCCCAATGTCAGAAGACTGTTGGGGATTGGATGGTAAAACGAGCTTTGACTCAACCCTAGCAAAATGGAGTGGCTGTGGGTATTTGGACTCCCCAGAGACATGGTTCTTCCATCTTTTCTGGATGGGGTTGCCGTGCCCCAAACAGACTTAGTACACAATCTGGAGCCCTCCTAGACTCACTGCTCCTGCTCAAAGAGCAGATGACAGCAGTGGGTAGGAAGGCCTTTGCACACTTCTGATTGCACCTATACCTGGACCAGGAGGCCTTGCTCACAGTAACTCATGCACCCATGTAACCTCCGGGTTAGACTAGAATGGGGTTTTCCTTGAAGGCTATTCAGAAACTCCAACTGGTGGTTGTTCAAGTAGTAAATGATGCCAGATATATGGCACATGTAATACCACTCTGGTTTGAGCTGTGCTGGTTATTGGTGTCTTTCTGGGTACAATTCTGGGTGCTTGTGGTTACCTGTAAAGCCTACATGGCTTGAGACTGGGGTACCTGAGGATTGTCTTTTTTCAAGAGTCTACCTTTCCAACTAGGTCAAGCAGAATGAGCATGCTGAAGATCCCATGAGCCAAAAAATGGCCCCTGCCTATATGGAATATCCTCTCTTCAGAGATCAGAATGGCCTTTACCTTGTTAGCCTTTCATAAGGCCTTAAAAACCTGGCTGTGTTCCTGAACTTAAGGTGTTGAATGTGCCAAGGGCCCAGTTTCCTGGCTATATTGCTAACCAGGATAAATACATTGCTCTTATGTATCTTAAACCGGATGTTTTTATTGTTTTAAAAGTTGTTTAAAATTTTAATATATGTAATATAAAATGTGTAATATATTTTATGAATTGTAAGCCACCAGAATCATTGACTGAAAGGTACAGCCATAAAAATTGAATTAATAAAATATGTAAATAGAAAAAAATCTAAAAGGCAAAAAACAATCCTCGGCCATAGAAAAAAATGGAAAAATAGTCACATAAATGGACACCAAAAGACAACTTCTCTGGTAAATAAATTTGTTAGGTAAAAAACATACTTCATATACATTACTGTTCAATAGTCATAATTTAATGAAACAAAAGAACCTTTATATTTCATTGATTTTTATGGGATGGTAATTCTTTCCCATTGAAAATCCTTGAGATTTACAAAAAAAAAAAAAATGACTTTAGGAAAAAATCATGTCTTATAATAACTGAAATATTCTTTCCCCCCCAGAGTTGTAGTGTTAAAGTGCATGGTGATTCTGATCCATACCTGTATTACCACATGAATTGAATCTTTATCTCATTTCTTTATTTAATAAAATTTATATTTAAGAAAATTTATATTGTAAATTTTCATCTTGCCTAAAAAGTCCATATAAAATAGCTACACCATTATTTTAAAAACTTCTTCCATTTTTATAGCCATGACATAGTTTAAAGAAAAGGAATGGCTAAGTTTAAATTATGCTGAAATGCATTTTATTCTTGCATTAATAATCCTAAAATCCTTAGTGAAAAGATTAGCAGTTTTCATTTCCACCTCAACAAAAAGTAGGATATACTTATCTTTATAAAGTTGTTAGCTGCAATTCTGATTATTGAAAAGACAACATCAAAGCTCGAATTATGAATTGACTTATTTCAATAAACTATTGATGAATTGCCCCATTTCAGATTTAGATTGATGCTAAATTCAAGTGAAAGCTTAGAACTGCTACATTATGAATCTCCAGACATGAAGGTAGAAAGAGCCTATTCATTTCCATTGAATATTGTAGTTGAATTAATTCCTCAATTTCAGGTGGTTTTTTTCATGAATTAGATATGTGTTTTATTAGAAAGAGTTTTAAAAATGAGGTATCTTAAGGTATAATTTCCTTTGTGAATGGAGTTAATATTTATTGTATTAATTGTTTAATGCATGATGCTAATGCATGATCTTTAAATTGTAGAGGCTGAAATGCTGCCCTAATTCTGGCTACTTTTCTCCCACCTTTCTCAGCCTGTCATTCCTATATTTACAAAAAATCTACGAGAAGGATACAGAACACTTGGGAAAATATGTAAGAAAAATTCAACTTGCATCTATTCATTGTGCTGAAGCATATTTTATGGAAGAAAACCATATTGATTTCAACTGGATTTCTATCTAATTGTGTTTAGACTGTAGATCTTGGATTAAAAATATTCTAATTTTTCTGTTTTCATATATCCATCTATTTCTCCATCTCTTTCATTCTTGGCTTTGGACTTCAATCAAATTGACTTATCCTATTATTTTATGTTCTTATGTCTTTGCTGCTCTTTTTTATTTGTGATTCTTTTTGTTGTGTTTTCTTTAAATTTCTTCAGGTGTACAATAGTTGTGTGATAGATGCAGCTTTACTTTAGCTACAATTTAGTTGCATTTTTGTGAATTTATACTGATGGTAATTGACAAGACATAATGGCTAATTCTGTATAGAATTAGGACCTTGACATTTAACTGCATAATAACTGAGGCACACATTTCTATACAATTAAGATGCAACTGCATGGACTCCATTTTTTTTCTAATCAGGGCACTTTGAATACTGTTCAGCCCACCCCATGTTGTTGTTGTCGGAACATGACCATATTTTTGATTTTGCACACAGGGCCATTCAAATGGTTGTATGAACGTACCCGATGGCCAATTGTTCCTATATATGGTGGATTTCCTGTGAAATTTTGCACATATATAGGAGACCCCATTCCTTACGATCCAAATATATCAGCTGGAGAATTAGCTGAAAAGGTAATTTAAATGAACTGCAGAAACGTCAATTACAACACTTGTCATTACTGATATTATTATTTGTGAGTCTTTATACAGTATGTCCATGATAAAGAAAGTTTGTGACAGCAGGCACCCAAACCTCTGAAAAGAAGCTTGTTAATCTTTCTGTTCAAAATATCATAGTATACAATACTTTATACTTAATAATGTTTACATTTAATATTTACCTTTGGATTATATTCATTGCTTGTGAAATTACACCTTTTAAAAAATAAAGGCAAATATAGTTAAAGTATAAATCCAGTTACAAATGTGATATTGTTCACTTCAGGACTTCATTGTTCACAGTAGCATTTAAAAAGTATAATATAAATGTAGCTTACATATTTTCCAGAGAAAGAAAATAAGATAATATAATTTTTTCTCTTGTTCTTTGCTCTTTTACAGACCAAAAGTGCAATAAAAGATCTCCGAGATAAATACCAAGAAATACCGGGTAGCATACAAAGAGCACTATTGGAAAGATTTGAGAAACACCTAGAGAAATGATGCCTTTCTGCTTGAGAATATGTAGACTCCATTTGCCCCCACCAAGAAATATATTGTGCTAGTGATTTGAGGTTTTTTTTTTAAGGAAAAAAAAAGTTCACTTCAGTCACTAAATTTTAATATACGTGTATTAAATATGCAAGTGGAATATCTGTTGCTTGTTTGCAATTTTAGATGTTAGATTTGTTGTGTATATTTTGCATATAGAAAAGAGATATAGGTTTGGTGACCTGAACTTCTTCACATAAATATCTTTAGTGAAGGCTAACCTTTTTGATGTATTTGCAATCATTTAATAAATATTGTTCTACTTAAAATTGAAAAAGAAAATATGCTCGAACTTCTTATCTTAGATTCAGTGGTGTTCGACTTCTTTTTATAGCACAGTAATGTGCAAATTCATACAAGTTCTAATTCATTATTCATATATAAGATTCTATTCAGATGTTACTCAGATTTTAAACTAATTCAGAATTTAATTGGATCACAGATTCAACTATAGGCTATAATGAAGAAATATTAAAACTCCTGCAGCTACTTCATATTTAATGATTAGTTAATTAGGCAGGAGAAAGAGAAAGACTTAGCAGAATAGAAGGCAGATGGCATCTGCTGCCCACTTGCTGTCTTCTTGTGGGCCATAAAGAAACAGACAGAAGCTCAGATTTGGCCTGGAAGCCATAGTTTACTGACCACTGCTATTAACATGGTATTTAAATCAGAACAAAATAAAAAAAATACAAGCTGTCAAGCACCCAAATTTTGCTCATGTGACCATGGAAGTGTTACAATCACATTAATTTCAGGGACTGAGCCTAAATTGCAATTGCTCAGTGCCATTGTAACTTCAAACAGCTGCTGAATAAGTCATCTAAATTTGAGGACTACTTTTTCAAACAATAAAATCACGGTTAACCACATACTCTAAATGAGCTATCCTTGAAGAGATTCTGTAGCTTCAGCATGTGCAAAATGCACTAGCACAACATTCAGATGTGTTCCTCCTGAATTATACCACCTCCACATGTTATACCTCTGCTCTGTGAACTGCCTTGGTTACCAGTTTGCTTTCAGGTTCAATTGAAGATGCTAATAACAACCTATAAATGTCTTTATGTCATGGGTCTGGATAATTTGAGGGCTTGCAATATCCCTAGTTACAGCTACTCATCCTATCAGATCTGGTAGAAAGGATGTATTATGTGTTGTGTTGGAAGACGGACACACCAGGCAGACACGGAGTTGAAGA